CATCAGTATCACTACTAGTCAGCCCACTGGGACACTACGAGTGGGGAACTGCTACCATGGGTGTTCAAACAATACAGACCCAAAAATAGCAAACTCTTTTCCAGTGCCAACGGTATACGATTTTCAGCAGTATGTAAATCAATCAAGGCTCGTCCTCACATTACCAAGAAGGCCATTTGTGACCGGCTTCAGGCAAATATCTCTTTGGGATATGTGACTAGATGCCATTATAACTAATCCAATTTCTTTCTTAAGTACCTCTGATCAACTTGTCTCTTCAAATCCACATCAAAATGCATTAAGAACAAATGGTCATTTTGTTAAGATACTTTGCAACAACATTGCTGTACACACTTCCATTGGTTTTTCATTCCTACCGAATTTGTCACTAGTTTTTTTCCCATGACTTCAAAGAGTGTCTTATGGAAGTTTCCCTCTTGTCACCTAATTACACAGACGTTGACCCAATCACAGGTGAATTTTCTTTAGATCTAGAATATGAAGATGACATAGTCCTGTTAGGTGAAGACGCTGACAAGATGCAGAGTCTTCTGAACACTTTGAGTGGGAATTTGAGAATGTTTGGGATGCGATTTTCACCACCCAAATGCAAATGTTTGTTCCAGGACTGGTCTTCAGCGGTACCGCGGCTAACAATAGAGAGTGAAATGGTTGAGTGTGTTGACCACTTCACTTACCTGGGAAGTAGGATCAACTCCGGTGGGTCAGTTGCCGATGAGATTTCTGCACGGATACAAAAGGCTCGATTGGCTTTTGCCAATTTGCGCCACCTATGGTGCCGCCGTGATATTCGTTTGTCTATTAAGGGTCGCGTGTACTGCACAGCAGTTCGCTCTGTTCTACTGTATGGCTGTGAAACATGGCCATTGAAAGTGGAAGACATGAGAAGGTTACAGGTATTTGACCACCGTTGCCTTCGTAGTATAGGCCGTACTCCGTGGTGTCACCATGTGAGTAATGGAGAAGTCAGGTGTAGAGTTTTGGGGAGAAGAGACAAGTCACTTGACAAGGTTGTGAACCTTCATCGACTGAGGATGGTTGAGACACGTACTACGTATGCCTAGTCACCGATTGCCTCGTCACACCATGTTGGCTGAGGTGGTTGCAGGCTGGAAAAAGGCTAGAGGTGGCCAGACTAAAACATGGCACCAATGTATGAAGTCTCTGACTGTTGGTTTGAGCCATGTGGGGCGATGTAGACTAGGTGGTTGGGGTCCGCGGGACAAGAGGAACCAGTGGTTGGAGACCCTAGGTGATATGGCTGAGAACCGATGTGAGTGGCGCAGATGTATACATACATTATCCTCATCTTAACAACGCTATATCGAATCTCACCATTTTGTCACTCCTCTTTCCTTTCTTCTCGTACTTTATATTTCTTTTGACTGAATTTTCTTATCTTCATCCTTCACCTCACTACCTTTCTACTTGATGAACTGACGTGAGGTGTGGCAACTCGGACAATTACGCAGTAATGCCTGATCCTATGTTGATAATGATGATGATGATGAAGAGTGTCACAATACGTTGTTTTCAAACTGCTTAGCTTATAATGTCTGAGTTTAACATTTTACAGATATTTTCAGGTTTAATCTACCTAATTGACATGTAAACCTCATTATGATCTACCACACGAATAATATACAAAAATATTTGTGCTTTTTCACTGAGCGGTAAAAGCTGAAATAATCTTCAAACTGAAAAAGATTGTGGATGAGCATTTAGAGAATTCTAATTAGACATAGCTAGTAACTGCAGTGCTTTTCGACATAAATATATGCATCTTCTCTTCAACTTCCATGGCAGCTTTTCTGATTTGAATTGTTATATTTGATAATTTGATGCTAGGAAGATAAAGACCCAGCCTTTAAAATCTGTCCGGTAACAAGTGATGGCATTATATACTGTTTGGTTACATAACTTTGTTTGACAGCACTCCTTGTACCAAATTGGTTAAATCAGTATCCAGAAACTTAAGAAAAATGTTTGAATGGCTATTCCAACATACTTTTAATGGAAAACTGGTTGATTTGAAGACCAAATCATTAACCAGGTGACAAAGTTGAGAGAGATACTGAAAACCGTGAATCGCTAGGCACTTTGTTGGTCCTAGTCTCTACCTTTTTTAATGCGTCCACGTACAAACCCACAGAAGTTGAGTCGACTGTAATCAGATATCACCACATGAATGCTACCATTCATTCTCTGGATAAAATAACCCATACTGACCAAGCTTATTGAAGTCATGATCAAATGCATTTATCAGTCAGTGTAGTCGATTAGCATCCGTTCGCACTCCTTGTTTGGTTGCCCTGCCAATTTACGTCACCCTATTCCAACCTCGAGGCACCGGAGTCCCAGCCAGTCAACTGAGTAGCCTTGGAATATGAAAAGGGTGAAAAATAATATCTAACTGATCTATTCAAAGTTAGTATATACAGTATGAAAATGTCTGGTCAACAGTTCTATACAGAAAATAACTTGAAAATGAAAGATGTAAGAAGGGAAAAATAAAGTAACCCAATTAAAATAACTTAGACTATTGACTGAAGTAAATGCAGTGAATTGATTTTCGAATTCCGACTTCTACCAGTTACTGATATTACCATTACTGGTTTCAGAATATGGTAAAATGTTTTGTTTTCTTGAACATTTTGTTTTCTATGAATTCTAAAATTAAATAAATGTAAAATGAAACAGTAGGCTTATTTTGTACTTTAAGGTATCATGAGACTGCCTAAAACTCCTGGTATTGGGAATTTAATGAACACTAATCCCCGTAAAGCTAATTTTAAAGATTTGTAAATTCTAATGTATAGTATGAGTTAGCTCATTTCTGTGTTTCAATTCAATCTGAATCCATTTTATAAAATTCATTTTGTACTGATACTTCTTTTATTGTAAATTTTATACTACTTATTATCAGCAAGTAGTAATGAGATATTTCTAGTGTATTGTTTCCGTTAGCACTTACGCGAATCAAACACTCATCATAACTGCCGCTCTGTATAGGCTCCCTTGCCATCAGTTTATTGGTAACTCTTCCCCCTTTCTCTGGGAATACTACTTACTTCTTGGCTCACTTCAAATTTTGTACACATCACTTACTGAACTGTTGCTATATTGTTGCCATACTAGTTGGAGCACCTTTTTCATCGTTAATCGTTGTGAATTGCTTGACGCAGCTACGTGTGTTTATTTCTTTTCAGACATACTGTAATGATCATTCCTTTGATTATATGGTAGACACCTGAATACTTCATAGTTCCAGAGGAATGTCACATTTTTATTACAAAGACCTGGCACGTAATCTAAAAGTTTGGTTTTGGATTTATTCAGAGGAATTTACACTATTGAAGCGTTATGAAAATGCAAATCATCTAACCTCTCGAAAACATCTCATGAACATAAGTGCAAAGAAATCATTCAGCAGACATGTATATGTTTGTCTTTCATTTCTGAAGTTATATTCACCAATAGATTTATCACCGCAATATGATAGAAAGCTTTATTCCCTTGAATATCAGTAGGCAAACTCTAAGCTTATAGCGAATTGGTAAATAGTTAGATTATTCAATGAAAGAGTTGAGAGAAGCCTTTTACACCACAGGCATTTTTAAGCTGTTTTAACCCATCAGTTAGCAGGAATTGGTCACTGTTTCTGGAACGAGGCAGTATATATTGAAACAGTTGACTATAACCTTGATCTTTTGAGATCTATCAAATTACAACCATTGGCATCATCATAGGACAGAGCATAGATTTATAGTCAACTATTCAGCTCAATTCCATCCACTTTGAAAAGTCCTTCAACAGCGTCGACCGACAAGTTATTTGGTACGTAGCTGCTTGAACACTACGGTTTCAGTGCCATAAACCTCCATCAACCTCATTCAACAGCTATATCGCATGCTAGATGAGGATGCTACATGCCAAGTGATTCACGATGGAAAACTCAGTGATGATACCTGTGAAGTGAAAACAGGAGATAAGAGTAAGACAAGGTTGCCGCCTACAATCAACCATCATTTTCTTCATCGTGATCCACTGAACTGAACTGAACTGAACTGAACTGAACTGAACTGAACTGAACTGGACTGGACTGGACTGGACTGGAATCGACTCGACTCGGCTCGGCTCGACTGAACTGAACTGAACTGAATCAGACTGGACTGGATCATGCAACAGACAACTGTGAGAAGATGGACATATGCTGGTTGGACCGATGAAAAGACACTAGAAGAAGATTTGCATTTCGCCAACGATGATGATTTATGTCTGATGTCTTCTCACACAAACTGGAAGATGCACGCGTGAAAACTATCAAGTTGTCAGAAGAGGCGATGTGAAGTGAGGTGAGGTGAGGTGAGGCAGTGAGGGAAGAAGGAACTTCCTTCAAGTGGACGTAGAGAAGACAGAGGTGATGAAGTTAGCCAACCAACCAACAAACAAACAAACAGACAAATAGCAACAACAAGCACCGATCACCATGAATGGGAGAAATGTGAAGGAAGTTGTCTCTTTCACCCACCTACCGACCTGTCTAGGCAGCATCGTCTCAACTACAGTTGGCGGTGGTGGCAGGGATAAGGATGTCAAAGCCAGGTTGAGAAAGACTGCAAGACAGGCCTTCCTTCATGAATCTGAAATCAGTGAGGAGGTCTACTGCATTGTACTCCACTCCACTCAGCATGAAACGTGCATAGGATATGAATTTTCAACACTAATGTCAATCAAGTCAGTCAGTGGTTCTATGTGATGGCTGAGGGACTTGGCAGCGCGTTACGAAATGGCGACGTCCTAGTGAAGTCCTATATTTCACTAGTAATGCAAAGGACAAATAATAATAATAACATCATTTTCATACAAACACAATAACATTTTCTTTATCTCATAACACACTATGATAAAAAAAACACTAGCTAACCTTGAAAATGAACAGTTAAAATTAGCAACTGCAAATAAACAAACTATCCAGATTACTGATTTGGTAGTCCGTTCAATTGAACATTTAATTCAGCATTTGATTTTGTTGAACTATTATTGAATTGTGTTTCATATGAACTATTCATTTGAGAAATTTGATTTTCATTCATAATCCTAGTCTCCAAAGCATGAGTTCTTCGAACATGACTATCATGTGCAGCATGTGAAGCAAATGGTTTCCAACAGAATTTACACTGGATACATATATAAGTTAAATATAAAAGGTTATATCAATAATTTATCGAATTTGGGAAACTAATATAAACTCCTGTAACTAATTTAACACTGTGAACTAGTCTTTACAACAAAACACCGATTAATCAGTAACACTATGGGACCTGAGTAACGATTCAAGCTGTCGCATATGATACTGACACATCAATGAAACTAGATGATATAAAGAGAAGTAGGGAAAAAAATGGAATCGATAGTCACTTAAAAAGATTGAAATATTTTTGGTTGAGTATATAACTTGGCCTCGCCTGGTTAACTATTTCACTAGTTACTAGCCGGTCCTAAGCCCGGGTAAAGAGGGAAGGTTGGGCATAGGGCTAACAACCCTACCCCGTAAAACAAATCTAACCGCTAAACAAACTTCAAAGCACAAACGAAATATAAAAAATAATAGCAAAATTATCCCTCTCTGGAATCGGAGAGGCGAAATGACTGTGGTTGGTGAAAGCCTTCGGGAAGCCAATTGGCCGATGTGTCTTCTCTCCTTCGATGAAAGCGAAAGTAAACGTGGGGACATGGAATTTCCGTACGATGTTTGAACCCAGTAAGGCAGCCAAGATTGCAAACGAGATGAGAAGGTATCACATCGAAGTGCTTGGGATTTGCAAAAGCAGATGGAATGGGAGCGGACTCTCCAAACTGTCAACTGGAGAATCAATAATCTACTCCTGTCACCCAGACGACAGCCACGAGCACACTGAGTTTCGGAATGGCTATCATGATGTCCCCAACAGCATCGAAGGCTCTCATGCAGTGGGAACCAATCTCCTCCAGGATCATGGCAGCAAGATTCAACTCAAAAGGAAGGAAGGAAGGTCACAATCATGCAATGCTATGCACCTACAAATAATGCAGAGCAAGAGAAAAAGAAGGAATTCTACAGACAACTTCAATCAACACTGGACAAGACGTCAGTTGGCGATATCAAAATTCTGATGGGCGACATGAATGCCAAACTGGGAGCGGACAACATAGGAAGAGAATTAACCATGGGTCGAGAAGTGCTCGGTGAGGTGATGAAAGAGAATGGAGAATTGTTTGCAGAATTCTGCGCATTCAGCCGTTCGGTGATTGGAGGCAGTGTGTTCAAGCACAAGGATATACACAAAGCGACATGGATTTCACCAGATGGACACACTAAAAATCAAATCGACTTTATCTCAATCTCAAGAAAATGGAGACGCAGTCTACTTAACACAAGGTCAAGAAGAGGAGCAGATGTAGGTTCAAACCACTCACCATCTGGTGCAAGGAACCTTCCAAATCAAGTTAAAAGCCTTCAAGGAAGCTGGTGATAGACCTCAATTCAAGTACAACACTCGGAAACTGAAGGATGAAACTACAAAGGAGATCTTCAAAGCAGCCATCAAGACAAAATGGGAGACGTCGAGGGATATCCCTGAAGAAACCTGTGTAGAAGAACACTGGAAGTCTTTGAAAGCTATGTGGAAAGAAACCTGCACAACAGTATTAGGAAGGAAGAAAAAAGAAGACAAGGAATGGATCTCGACGGATACCTGGAAGCTGATAGAGGAGAGGAGGATGGTGAAGCAGAAGATAAACCAGTGCAAGGATACACAACGGCAAGAGGAACTGAGCACAGTGTATAAAACACTGGACAAAGAAGTGAAGAAGAGTGAACGCAAAGACAAAGGCACTTCTACGAAACACTGGCAAGTGAAGCAGAACAGGCTGCAGGTAAGTGAGATCTGACAACATTGTATCAAATAACCAGGTTGCTATCTGGGAAGAGATCAACACAGATGAAACCAATAAAAGATGATGACGGAAGTATGATTACGAAAGAAGAGAAACTATGGGCTGACCACTTGAAAAAGCTCTCGAATCGACCACCACCTACACTTCGTCCAGAAATACCACCTGCAGAAGCTTAACTACAAGTGAACATAAATCCTCCAACAAAAATGGAAGTCCTGAACGCCATAAAGCTACTGAAATGCGGGAAAGCAGCAGGACCAGATGGGATACCGCCAGAAGCACTGAGAACAGATGCAGAGACAACAGCAGACATGCTCACACCACTATTGCAGAAGGTGTGGAAGGAAGAGAAGGTACCTGGCTAGTGATTGGAAGAAGGGTTACCTTGTCAAACTACCAAAGAAGGGAGACCTCAGTGTTTGCAAGAACTGGCGAGGAATCACTCTCCTGTCCACCCCAAGTAAAATATTAAGCCGCATCATCCTGGAGAGGCTAAAGGATGCGCTGGATTCAAAACTGCGACCGGAACAGGCAGGCTTCAGGGAGTACAAATCATGTGCAGACCAAATTGCAACGCTTAGCATCATCATAGAACAGAGCATAGAATGGCAATCAGCTCTCTACCTCAACTTTATCGACTTCGAGAAGGCCTTTGACAGCGTCGACCGAGAAGTAATTTGGAAACTGCTTCATTACTACGGAATATCACAAACCTTTATCAGCCTCATTCAACAATTATATGAAGATGCCACGTGCCAAGTAATTCACAATGGGAAACTCAGTGATGCCTTTGAAGTGAAGACAGGAGTGAAACAAGGCTGTCTACTATCACCTATGATCTTCCTGATTGTGGTGGACTGGATCATGCAGCAAACAGTGGGCAGCGAGAAGAGGGGGATACACTGAACTGCGGAAAAGAACCTAGAAGACTTGGATTTCGCCGATGACTTGTGCCTGATGTCACATAAACTTGAAGACCTACAGGCAAAAACTAACAAGTTGATAGAAGAGGCAGCGAAGGCGAAACTTCAAGTGAATATAGAGAAGACAGAGGTGATGAAGATACCGCACCACCAACAACAACAAACTCTAATCACCATCAACGGGAGAAACTTAAAGGAAGTAACCTCCTTCACCTATCTAGGCAGAGTAGCACTGTTTCAACTACAGGCGGCACAGGCACAGACGAGGATGTCAAAGTCAGAATCGGAAAAGCAAGACAGGCGTTCATTAGCCTGAAACCAGTTTGGAGAACTTCTGCACTCAGCATGTGGAACAACATCCGGATTTCCAACACCAACGTCAAGTCAGTACTCCTGTATGGCTCAGAGACTTGGCGCGTTACGAAAGGGATTTCCAACAAACTACAGACATTCATCAACAACTGCTTACGCTGGCTACTGAAGATCAAATGGTCAGAAAGAATAAGCAACAAGGTGCTCTGGGAACGAACCAACCAAGAACCTATCACGCAACAAATATGCAGGAGGAAGTGGAGATGGATTGGCCATGCACTGAGAAGGCCGACTGAGGACGTCACGCGTCAGGCCAGTTGCTCGAGTGGAACCCAGATGGGAAGCGACGAGTTGGACGTCTGAGGGTGACATGGAGGAGGTCATGCGAGGAGGAAATGAGAGGTTGTGGGCTGTCGTGGAACCAGGTTCAAAAGATCTCAGAGAACAGGATGGAATGGAGACGTGCTACTGAAGCCCTATGTTCCACTAGGAACCCAAGGGACTAATTATAATAATAATAAAATATAACTTGACAGTGACAAAAGCGGACTTGCTCCCACCACTACAGCAGAAGGTTTGGAAATGAGGAACGAAGGAAAGATAACTGCCGATTGATTGGAAGAAAGGCTACCTTGTCTGACTCCTAAATTAGGGCGACCCAAGTCTTTGCAAGAACTGGAGCGGAATCAAACTCCACTCCTGTCTACCCTAAGCAAAATATTAAGCCGCTTCATCCTGGAGGGATTAGAAGATCGTCTGGATTCAAAATTACAACCGGAACATGCCTGCTGGCTCCAGAAAGAACAAATCATGTGCGGATCAAATTGCAACGCTACTCATCATCATAGAACAGAGCATAGATTTATAGTCAACTATTCAGCTCAATTCCATCCACTTTGAAAAGTCCTTCAACAGCGTCGACCGACAAGTTATTTGGTACGTAGCTGCTTGAACACTACGGTTTCAGTGCCATAAACCTCCATCAACCTCATTCAACAGCTATATCGCATGCTAGATGAGGATGCTACATGCCAAGTGATTCACGATGGAAAACTCAGTGATGATACCTGTGAAGTGAAAACAGGAGATAAGAGTAAGACAAGGTTGCCGCCTACAATCAACCATCATTTTCTTCATCGTGATCCACTGAACTGAACTGAACTGAACTGAACTGAACTGAACTGAACTGAACTGAACTGAACTGGACTGGACTGGACTGGACTGGAATCGACTCGACTCGGCTCGGCTCGACTGAACTGAACTGAACTGAATCAGACTGGACTGGATCATGCAACAGACAACTGTGAGAAGATGGACATATGCTGGTTGGACCGATGAAAAGACACTAGAAGAAGATTTGCATTTCGCCAACGATGATGATTTATGTCTGATGTCTTCTCACACAAACTGGAAGATGCACACGTGAAAGCTAACAACTAACAAGCTCACTAGAGAAAGAAATTTAAATTCCTGATTCTTCAACTTTGGTGAATCTGGGACTAAAAAAAGTAATTCATACTGGTTCGTACTACAGTCTTTAAGTGTATTTTTAATAATTTATTTCGCTTACTCACAATTTAATAGGAAGAAACAGCTATAAATGCCAAAGGGATTCGTTAAGTGTATCAATTAATTGGGTTTGCTGAGTATCTAATAATGTCGAACTAAATAAAAGTGATACTGAAGCACAATCACGCTACGTAAGCAACCTTCCAGAAATAAAATAGCTGACTATGAGGTCTAAGTGTACCATATGAAAACTGTGACTTGTTTTTCACTGGTAATTAACGCTACAATTTCGAAATTTCCATGTTTGAAGAGGTTTCATCATTTACTTCAGGCGTGTGCAACTCCAAGTATAAGTATGACAACATGAAAACATGAAATGATCAACAACATTCAATTCACACCTGAAGACAGTAAAAGTTTTCGATCAGTTTTTAAGCAGTCAAATGATCTAATGATTAACACGTGTATTCCAGATCACTAGGACAAGTAACTTGTTAGTAAGTTTTAAGAACTGATTAATACCCTATGGAATTTTTGCGCTATTGCATAGAGTGACAATGAAAATTTCATGCATAAATCATGAATCTCATATGATAAGTTACCCTCAAAGAAGTCAGCTTTTACTGGTGAAATGTATCACTCAATAACAGTGAAAATTCTTAGTTTTAAATGCTCGAAATATCTCTCCTTATTACATTACTGACAAAAACTTTCAATATTATTCCTCGTGAATATTGTCCCTATGTACTTTTCGTACCACTATGAGTTGTGTATTACACTCATGTATTCATATTTCTCAGAGGTTGTTTGTAGAATTCCTCCTTCTTCTCTTGATCTGCATTATTTGTTGACGCGTAGCATTGAATGATAGTAACTTTCAAACTTCAGACATTCATTAACAGCTGCCTATGTTCGATACTGAAGATCGGATGGCCACAAAGAATTCTGGGAACGAACCAACCAAGAACCTGTCACCCAACAAATATGCAGTAGCAGGAAGTGGAGATGGATTGAGTTGGATATACCCTGGGAAAGCCGATTGAGGACATCACGCGTCAGGCCAGGTCAGGCCCTCGAGTGAAATCCAAAAGGAAAACGATGAGTTGGGCGTCTAAAGGTGACATAGAGACGGTGTGAGGAAGAAATGAAAGCTTATGGGCAGTCGTGGAGCCAGCTTCAAAAGACTGCAGAGAACAGAGTGCTACGGAGGCGTGCTACTGAATCCCTATGTTCCACTAGGAACCCAAGGGAAATAATAATAATAATGAATGGATGTCAGTGGATTATAGTTAGAGCTAAAATCAGAAATACACTTATAATCGTAATCCCTAATGCATCTTTTACAAATGTGATTCTTAGTGTCCCATAATCTAACAATTCTGTGCATTTCTTCGTACCTATACTGCAATTTATCTTTGTAGATTTTTCAAAAAATTTGTACAAAATATGGTCTTATTCCACATGAAAGTATAGATTTGGGCAGAATCGAACGGCGGCCTGCTTGAACTTTCGGCCACTAAATTTATCCATTGAACACTTTTCATCAAATTCTTTCCTTTCAATTTCTTTTAATCATTTAAATATCTCCTTTGAACGTATCATATACTCTTACACATTTCAAAACTGTTTCCAACTCTCTATTTCTGCAGTTAATAGCAAAGCATAGAAATAACGTTGCGTCATGTAGAAATGGGCTTTTCGGTGTAAAAAAAAGTATAACATCTTTCTATCCATTAGATGATTAGCTTGAGTTGCAGGTTTTTGTACCGTCTAAGTAAACTGCTACCACCAAGATTACGCTTGTATTTCTGTTGATTCTTCATTATGAACCGGGTTCCCATTCGGAACCGGCTGGCTATTTCACATTATTGCCTTGAATACTGTTACTATTAACATTATCATTCAGATGCAGTGACCGTTTCGTCTGAAAATATTGTTCTGGGAGTGAAGTTGTTGAAAAATTACATGTTGAGAATTCCATACTGTCATAAATATTGTGTGTAATAAAGGGATTATTATTATCATTAAGATTTCCCTAGATTTTTTTAATGTACGGTCAAATGGTTTGGTCCTGAAGTTGACCCAGTCAACATTTACGTGAGGCAAAAAAAGAGCATATTGCAGATTACTATGAAAACAGGGGGCAGAACTCCGAGCAAAACGCAGGATTGCGCAACATTTCCCCCAGTTTTGCCCTGAGTTTTTAACCCGTGTTCAGCCCCGCATTTCCCAGAGAAATGCCCAGCGTTTCCCAACGAAGATGTTGACTGGGTTAAGTTAATTTTTTCTGTGTTTTAGGAGATTATAGATAGCATACTCAATAATAATACACTCAGTTTTACTGCTAAATACTTTCTGAAAAATATTTATCAGTAAGGCTCAATGGTTTAAGCCATGTAGGTGAACAATGGTGTCTTCAGCTAGGTCTCTTCAAGTTCTACTTTAATACACATACATGCAAGATAAAGACTAAGTAAGGCAATTTGTCATTCAACGATACCAAGAACACGGATTCAACAATTTAGAATGTAGTATCAACAGCTGGCCGTTACATTCTGGTGTCGGACGTGGGATCCGGCTCGCTCACAATCAGACCGATATGCACTCAACAGCAGCCATTCCCTCGAATGAAACTCAAGCCAACTTCACATACTATACCTAGCCTCAAACTTACCCAGCTACATTCGAACACTGTCCCAGTATTTTTTTCATCAAGAGGAGCAATATGACGCATTCAAAGCCTTACCTATTCACTTTGCTGATCACCTTTTTACACCGATTCATCTCTTCTTTATGGATCTCAATGGTTTATCCATTATCTTTCATGATTAAATGTTAATAAATCCTATATGCCTTCTGAGTCGTTGGCTCATGTTCTTCTCTTCTCTCTTCCAGATTATCATAATCACCTCCAAACTCATATTCCTCTATGCACCTTCCTGAAACAACGTACCTACTTACAGACTAGACGAAAACCTACCAACAGCTGATTGTTACAATAGTGTGATGAGTAAAACGAATGTTGAGAATGGAACGATAATGTAGAAAGATGTTCAGGCAGACAAAGTAGGTCAGGGCTTGAAAAAAGAACAATAAGATAGTGTAATGCTGAAGAATGAAGCCAGTGGATAAATAGCATTTAAATGTGAATACAGTAGGTGCTTAAAAGGGGATGAAGAGCATCTTAAAAGTTTATGACTAACAATTCCATCAATAGAACAAACACCCTTCGCTTACTTTGAATGGTTTCTCTCCTGAATGTTGTCGAATATGTGTTCGTAGAATACTACTGGCTGTAAATGCTTTATTACAATAACAACATTTATAAGGTCGTTCACCACTGTGTACCTGAAGGTGATGAAAAAGAGATGACACATTAAGGTATTAACGCGTTGACGATTATCTGCATTATGAATTACTGGGCTTCATATATGAATGTAGTCAATAGTAATCTTTGTCTTCTAACTGCTTGATAGTTGACATTTGATTTGAAGATGATTTCTACCTTCTTCATACAAAACTGATAATAACTGTGAGATTTGAAGCTTATTTACACTTATATACCTTTATAGATGTTTATTAATTTGTTGAGAAGGTGTCTATCTCTCAAGCAGGTCAATAGATCGACTTGTAAACTTTCATCAGTTCAAATGACTGGGACATTTATTATCCATGTATAATCACCATCAACTCTGAAGCACAGTATTACCTAGTGTAAGTCTCTGATGTGTTGAGGTTATCTGTGGAATAGTAGAGCTTTATGTAGTAATACTAACTTCCATATTGCTATTGACAAATTGATCTCCTATGATTGCCTAATTTTGATGAACGTATATTAGACAGTTGGTGAGGATAGATTTTGGCTAGATAAACATAAAATTGTATCTACTTTTTTGGGAGATAAGACTACTTGTCAAATGAATCATACAGAAACTCATTTGAAATCTTATAACTTTTACTAATTCGTATTGAATAACTGTATGAGTGAATTCAGACAGTAAATTTCTTCAACACTCTAAATCCCTGAGTCCCTAGATCTTTATTCTAAATCCAGGATAAGTATGATGTGACAATAATCATACCTAATATATGTGCCAGATTATATTCATATATTGATTCATGACATATTAAATACAGGAAAATGGTTTTGAGTGTGAGAAATACTGTCTAAAGAACAACCAGTGAATAAGAAGTACTTGAAAATAGTCTCATCCCAGTTTGAAATTCTTCAGCTCAGCATATACTTAACTGCATATATTATCAAATTTAAGGTAATGCAAATCTCTCAATGATAGGTTTAATTTAATCGACTTTCTTCGGTTTCTTTCAAACCAAGCTAAAAAAAATATGCGTATTGGTTATTATATACAAAACTATATATGAGGCATTCATATATATATATATATATATATATATATATATATATATATATATATATATATATACATATATATATATATATATAGTTTGTGAAGAACGGGTTCTGGTGACACTTGCTATTCAAACCATAGTAGACATGGTGTTGTTTGAATTTTTATCCAATATTTGAAAGTTTAATGTCTCAACCAATCTACATAAATCTTAAACATTGAATCCCAACCCACTGACTTAACGATGCAGTATATATTCAGAGACCTCAGTGTCTTTATTACAACTTCAAAATAAGCAAAGAATGTTCATAAGATGAAGAGTTCTGAAGTATAACAAAGCAGTTGTTCACTGATTTAACGTTGATATAGGAACTTAAATTTTATCAGTCTTCAAAGCAAATCAGTAACGCTGAATGGATCTTTCGATGCACCCCATCTTTTTCAATAATTCATGAAAAAGAGAAACAAAAATCGACATATATTTATAAAAGGAATTAGTAATTGAACTTACACGTAAATGTTTATTTAAACTAGATGACTGACTGAAATTTTTTCCACATAGATGACATTTATGTGGTCTGTGTTTTTCGTGAACATGTAATACATGTATACGTAGTCGATCACGTTTTTCAAAAGATCTATAAATCAAAGTGAAATTTAGAAAGTTTTGATTAGTTTTAGGACTTCATACATATACATTAACATATAATCATTAATGTATTGGGAGATTTCTTAATCATAAATTATTTCCTTGTGAGTATATTTACATGTATATAAAGTAATATTGTAACATATTCGAGATCTTACTCATTCAACTTCCATTTTCGATGTCTAGACTGCCTCATCTCTTCCTTGTCAAGCTCTACCATTCGTCACTCATCTTTTATTACTATAATAACATTCAGTCACACAAACTCTTAGTATCACAAGCACGTCTACTAGTGTCATAAATTGATCACTTCCACCTTTCTTAGCAGATGTTCAACTTCGTCAATGAAGTAGGTTTGAATCAGTGTTGCAGAATACTAAACATGGCAAATAATGACCTTTTCCTTATATCTCTGCGTGCCAACAACCGACATTTTGATTTTGGTAGTCAGCTTTGATCATCAGCATGCAATCTTTCTTCATATTAATTAATGAAAACTAAACACTTTTTCTCAACATCATCGAAAATGAAAAAGCCTTCAACAGCGTCAAAACGAGAAGTGATTAGCCAGCTTCTGCAACACCACTGTTTCAGTGCCACAAACCTCCATCAACCTCATTCAACAGATTTATCCTATGCTAGATGAGGATGCTACATGCCAAGTGATTCACGATGGAAAAATCAGTGATGATACCTGTGAAGTGAAAACAGGAGATAAGAGTAAGACAAGGTTGCCGCCTACAATCACCCATCACCCTCATTGTGGTCCACTGCAATGCACTGGACTGGACAGCACTGGACTCGATCATGCAACAGACAACTGTGAGCAACTGTGAGAAGATGGACATATGCTGGTTGGACCGATGAAAGACGCTAGAGGAAGATTTGCATTTCGCCAACGATGATGATTTATGTCTGATGTCTTCTCACACAAACTCGAAGATGCACACGTGAAAACTATGAAGTTGTCAGAAGAGGCGAGGTGAAGTGAGGTGAGGTGAGGTGAGGCAGTGAGGGAAGACGGAACTTCCTTCAAGTGGACGTAGAGAAGACAGAGGTGATGAAGTTAGCCAACCAACCAACAAACAAACAAACAGACAAATAGCAACAACAAGCACCGATCACCATGAATGGGAGAAATGTGAAGGAAGTTGTCTCTTTCACCCACCGACCTACCTACCTAGACAGCATCGTCTCAACTGCAGGTGACGGTGGTGGCACAAATGAGGATGTCAAAGCCTGGATCAGAAAGACTGCAAGATAGGCCTTCCTTCATTAACGTGAAATCAGTGTGGTGATTTACTGCACTGCACTGTACTCCACTTCACTCATCATGAAGCGTGAACAACATCCACATTTTCAACACCAATGTCAGTGAAGTCAGTCAGTGCTTCTATGTGGTGGTTGAGAGACTTGACAGGGCTGTATAGAAAGCATTTCCAACAAACCACAGACATACATCATGAACAGCTGCGGTCTAAGTTCATTTGATACTGATGATCGATCAGATGGCCTGAATAATAAGAGTCAGCAACAAGCGACTCTGGCTGGCTGGCTGGCTGGCAGGCAACGAACGAACAAACAAACCAACCTATCACCCAACAAATATGCAGTAGCAGGAAGTGGAGATGGATTGGATTGGGCATACACTGAGGAAACCATTTGGGAACATGACACGTCGGACCGTGTCAGGCCGTCGAGTGGAATCCAGAGGGGAAACGTTGAGTTGGGCATCCAAGCTGTGGGTGACATGGAGGAGATGGTGTGAAGAAGAGATGAAAGCTTATGGACAGCCGTGGAGCCAGGTTGGAAAGACTGCAGAGAAGAGAGTGAAATGGTGACGTGCTACTGAATCCCTATGTTCCAATTGGAACCTTTACGACAAATAATAATAAATAATTAGCACTTATCGGCTAGGTGGTCTTGCATCACTATATGTTGTTTTTCGCGTTCAAAGTGCTACTCAGCATCCACTCCTTTAAACTGTAAAGCTTCGTTCACAAGACATCTGTGTCCTTATTGTCTTCTCTTGCTCAGTGATTGTTATTCGACATTAGGAACTGATATAATCGGATGAAAGTTATACAAGGAAAGATTCCATCAGACAAAAAAAGGAACAAAAATGAAAAATCATAAGCTATGAATCTTGTTAAATTCTTTTCACACTTATCTGGATAGCTCCATGACACTGAGACTATAAATGGTAGAATAAAAATGTTTCTACATATATTCACTTACTGAAAAAGTGTATTGTTAATTTCCTAGGAAGTGAATGACTTCGATACTCAGATGGTGTTAAGCTATTCTTGGTTTGCATTGTCATAGAAATATCTTTCACGATCAGTTTAAGCATCACTGACCTAACCGCCTAATAAGGCAGTAAATTTTATCACATAATTTTTAAGCAAATTAGAATATAAAGCAAAACCAATTCACCAGGATATTTAACTGGGTTTAGAGTAAACTTACCGAGAACAAAGTTTACAAGGATATTTCCTGTCTCCTTGATCCATACATCTTGTATACTTCAAGTGTTTATCACGATAATATTGATAGGCGAACATTTTTCCACAACGATCACATGTATAGCCTTCACGAGCTGTAAAATAAATATTTCTTTCTAAAATTGGCGTTCAAGAAGTTTTGCCTTAAGTGATAAACTTATTTCATCTACAGAATAATTGTGTTTACTAAACGATTATAATCGATCAAAAGTTTGTAATAACCTCAATTTGTTCTCGCTAACATATCATTTAATTTTTTGACATTGTACATTTTTAAGATGTTTGTTTGCATCAAGGACATCTGAGAACTTTCCATACACTTTCTTCAACCCTTGTACACTTCGCACTTTTTTTGTTTTTCGGTTTTCTGATCAAGATGCGCTTGAAATAGATCATTCGCAAACATTCCTGTTTTGGTCTTTTCAATACGTGTCGTTATTAATTGAATTACCAACAACGGGTACTGGACCTATTGTATACACGCATTGTCTCCCATAGCGGATCGATGAATTCACATTTGCTGAATAAACTGCCAACTATTAATTACTTTTCTAGGCAATTTAGTCATTCTTATATAAGTGAAGTTTTATTCACTAAAATGATCATTTCCTCCAGACTTCTGACTTACAGTAACAAAACTACTTAGTACATAAAATAAGTTACAATGGAAGTAAAAATAATTCTGTTCATGAAACTGCTTATAAAACAATAAAAGATAACTATGTCTAATCTTTGAGTGGATGGTTAAATGCCATTTCTCACTTCTTTCACCACGCTTTTCTTCAAGATATCTGTAACTACATCTGTGTTTAACCACAGTCAAAGGCCTACTCATTTACTTCCTAGCTTTACCTTGTCTACACGCTGTATAGTGTTAACTGTTACCCATTGTAGTTTGGAATCCATCATGGACTGACATCAGTTGGAGGAACATTGGAGCACTGGGCAGCAGTTTATTCCTAGTTTAGGACTTCTCAGTAGTGCTCACCCACTACCCCGCCCCACCAGGGACCGAACCCAGGACACTCAGGTCCCGTGACCAGCATGTTACTATTGAGCGAGCCACTGGGCCAGAACCTAATGGTCCATATTTCCTACTTCGATCAGTTCACGATAAAGTGCAACCGACATCTAATATCGTCGTTCAGTAACTGTCCTCCAGACAGAATTAATCTGGCGCTCATCGGTGACTAGCTTCGAGAAATGATTCCCGAAGATCCAATGAGAAGTCGTGACCAGTGGAATATATGGACAGTAACTCAGCGACGACAGTGGATGGAGGTCGCACTATATCGTGAACTGTTAGAAGTAGGGAATGTAAACCACTGGATTCTAACCCAGTGGCTAGCTCAATAGTAACATGCTGGTCACTGAACATGAGGGTCCTGGGTTCGATCCCTGGTGGGGCGGGGTCGTGGGTGTGCACTGCTGAGGAGTCCCATACTGGTGGGACGAAACAGCTGCCCAATGTTCCTCCAAATGATGTCAACTAATAAACCTCCACAAACCTCCAGATAGAATGTTATCCACTACATTTTATTATCGAATGCAAGTGTTTTTTGTGTGCTTGCCTAGCCATCGCCTCACACTTTTCGCTCCCTCTTTTTTACTTTCAGATTCTTACGCTAACTGAAAGAACCATCGTTGACAAAACTATAGAAACTCTCTCCCTCTGAAAACTCATTTATAGGCTAAATGAAAGTCTAGCAACAACCACTGTTGGTATATTCATGCCTTATACGTTCACAGTGAATTTTTTTCCGGACACTTAAGGCCTATTCAGTACTCTTTACTTTTAATATTTTTCCTACTGGAGTATATTCATTATACATAAGTAACTGAAGTAATTTATCCTCTTTCATATAAATTAAATAACCCTAGAAATTAATTTTCAGTCTTATCTGTGTTAGTAAACATCGTTAATGGTAGAATTTGGAAGAATATCTAGGATGTGGTAGTATTCAGGCCAATGTTTCTGAGTAATTGTTATCACTTATCTCCGAGACAGATTCAAAACCTCATGAAAACGCATGATATTGAACAAGTTCTAAATTTTCTCAGTCAGCCATGCTGTCAAGGAAGTAGTTACTGTGATATTAGAACGTCAGTCTGTATGACCGTCGAAGCCACCGAACTTCATGTCATAACAAGATAAAAGGCGGCGAGATGACTAACCATGACTTTATAAATGGAGTAGTTCTGCGACAGCTGACCAACTCTGTGATGACAACGATAACTGAATACTAAAGGCCAACTACTTTCACCTTTACTAGCCTTATATCAGGACAAAGTGAACAGATGTACAGCACGTTCATCCCGTCGTTGGCTACACAATTGGTGTAAGTCGGGAAAAACAAAACAACCCTTTCTTATTCCTCTATCTTCAACCTTTCAGAAAAAGTGGTTATCTGAACCCAAATGTAGCAGCCTGTTGCCATTATCTGCTCGTTTAGTTGGAATTTCGCAACTGCCACTTAAGTACCTTTCTATCTGGTTTAGGCTACCCACTTCTGTATTGAAATCAGTCTATACGTTAGCCGTTTCTTAAAGTTTACCTTTTAATGACAGTAAAGGCGGTTCCTGTTAGATATAAACTTTCGTTTCATCTGAACTACTATTGGTGGTCGCGTAAGCAGAGATTACAAAGAAACAATGGAGAGATTCAATATTCTTTTTAGTCTTGACTTTACCATTCAGTCGATCAGCGCACAAGCGACTGTCAACTGGGATGCAGCCAAGCACATAACTTTCAGTTTTAGGACTTACTTATGTGTAAACACCTCCAAGACCACGAGAACTAGTCATCGAATCCCCAGATACAGAAAGGGTTGGTCATGTAGGTTTAGTATTCAACTGCATCCCTGACGTGGTGGCCGGGCTTGCATATCACAACGGCCCAATGAGCTACGCTGGTGAGATGTTTGTTTTCTCGAGATCCTAGTATACCAATAAGGTTTTTTGAATAGTGGTAAGATAAAAACCAGTTACCGTTATAGTGTAAACCGCTACTCTTTGACTGAAGTCAGAGGGAGACCCTGCATTGCTGGGTGGATCAGGTGTGACAGCTGTAAGGCGCTTCCCACAGGTGATCAACTATCTTCCATATGAGAAGAAGAGGATTAGAAAAGGTTGGCCCTAAAGGTAGGATACTGTCGTCTACGTCGTGGTATACCGGTGCTGGTGATATGGGCTGATACTCAGATTCACAGAAAGAAAATTAAAATATCAAACTTTTAAGTAGGGTATTTGTTACTGGCTTCTAACATATGTCCCTTGAGGTTTACAGTCACGCATTAACTCTTCTATTCCAAGTACCAAACGAAGTCTCAACTACCCTCACAACTCTACCAGCATTCGACTTCCCTTAGATCAGTATCAAGCTTCTATTTCCTTAACTTCTAATCTTCCCTCAAATCTGTCGGTTAACATTCCTACATCATCTTTAATTTATCATGATCCTAATCGTCATACTGAACTCAACACTTTCTCATTCCTTTTTTAACTACTTTCTATCAATTTTGGCCAATTCTTCTTCATTGTTTTACCCTCCATCTTGGTACTTTCACGCTTGATTTGCTGATACTAGGTGTGGCAGCTTGGTGCATTATACAGTGGTGCAAGGTTCCATTATGAGTATATTTCTTTGTGTCTGTATATTATTCGTATTCGGTTAAGTGAATAAGTACGCTTGGCTGCTGCATACATGTCTGACAAACACAACACACACTCATGGCCTGATATCCCAGAAGTTTGTTGTACAGTTAGCCCGAAAGCGAACAAATTGAAGTCTCCAATCCACAGCTTGGAGCGTAGTTTCAGTGACCAGGGATGCTATTCAGTGAAATCAAATGGTTATAAACGGTAGCAGAGCTAGAAAAAATTAAAGGTGATATTAGAATTATTAACGGAGAGGTGTGAAAGAAAATTAGCAGACAGTGAAATCGAAATTTTACGGTAGCCAAAGAGTACCTGACTACTGAAAAATATGAAAAGATGATTGATAATTCTCTACTGTCCATATCGCGGAACATTGCTCCTAGAAATAATTGGAAGAAAATTGAATTAGTAAGGGTAGTCTTATCGTTATAGGTGCATGACGTCATAGCCCAGGGTACGTCTGAAAGTAGCCAGATACATATTGGCTTTCGGGGAGATTTTAATTTGCAATTCGTTAAGTTTCATTAGTGTAGAAAATCCCGTGACGTCGGTAGTGAAAGACCACAGTGCAAGGAGCAGTGTACTAGTCTGACCGCCGACCTTTCTTCATCCTTCTTCTTTACAAGAGAAAAAAGCATCATAATGACCTGCTGATCACTAAAGAAGAACAATTTATTTCTGACACACTTCAGTCAGCAGTATAACTTCATCCTCCAGCTGTCATCCTAAAGTAAGCCATTTACAATATGATGGTATATGCTTTTAGTCTCGTCACTGTTCAATAGACCTTTATGGTATGTTAAGACCTCAAAAATGGTCGTTCCTACCAGCATAGCTCTCTGAAGTACTTTGATATATTGAAGTAGCAGCTAGTGATTTGAGGCTCATAGAAAGAAAATTAACAGTCCTTTTGCAAAATGACAGCTATCATCTGACATCCATTTCATGTACAGAATGTCATCCCTTAACAAAAAGTAATATTCTATATCGTTTTTCGTAAGTTTTATAACTAAAAAAACTAGAGGACACCAATAAAATATATTTTTAAAATCCCAATGAGGTAGAGAAATAAATTTTTGACGTTTCCTGACTTCGTGGAAATCGCTACTTCACAGAATAAAACTTGTACAAGTTATCGAATGTTTAAATAGTAAGTGGTAACAAATCAGATCAAGTTGTTCATACATGATAATAATAGGAACATAAATGTCATTGTTATCTGTTATTAGTTCGGAGGTTAAGGTGAAGATGTGAATTCACATCTGTGTACTATTACATATCTAGTTTATATACAGTTCTGCCATAGCCCATACTGATTTCTCGACTTATAAACTAATAGCTTAACGCTACAGCCTAAATTCATCACCTCATGCCCAGGGTACATCCAAGTGTGTACAAAATAGAGTGCGTGCTGGCAGCATATCCGTCGATGGCAAGCCAACCTGTATAGCTTAAACAGTGTAAAATGATTGTAGTATAAAAATTCTATTTGTTTTATGTTCATAGTATAATGCAATATATTTCCTAGCTGAATTGAAGTATTCATGAATGAAGACTGATTATTGTTCCATGAGAGTTCCAGTTAGATGGAAATGGATCACAATATTAATGTTTTCCTACCTCAAATATGTGAAAATACATACTCATATCTGAAATCTAATGAACTCAATATCATATCTACAGCCTCAGCATTTGATACAAAATGCTTCACCTATAAGTTACAAATGGCGCAATAAAAGATGTGCTGTTCATAATGTTTCCTTTCAGCAAGAATAAACTGTATATTAACGTGCTATATGAAATGAGACTCCTTTAGAAAGTTAATTATTCTGTCCACAGTAAATGCACATGCCCTGATGCTAAATTGTTTACTTGCACTGAGATAAGATTGCTCTCGATTTATCCTAAGATAGATTACACCTCACACGAATAACCTAGAAGCCTGGTGGTATACATCTGCACACAGGTATTGATGTAACTAAATCTTGTTCCAAAAAGGGGTCACCCATAGATATTTTTGTTAATTTGACTCGCTGAAACGAGTACAACGCTAAGGTGTTCAATCTACAACAGTCAAACTGTCCGCCAAGAATTTGATACCTATGACTGAATAATACTAATTATTATTATTATTACTATTATTATTTCTCCCTTGGGTTTCTAGTGAAACAAAGGGCTTCAGTAACACCTCACCATATCACTCTCTTCTCTACAGTCTTTTCCACATGGCTCCAAGACTCCCCATAAGCTCCCATCTCTTCCTCACACCATCGCCTCCATGTCATACTCACATCGGACGCCCAACTCATCGTTTCCCATTTCACGTTCCACTCGACAACCTAACCTGGCCTAACACGTCATCTCCCAAAACCATCTTCTTTCTCAGTCTATGTCCATTTCAATCCTTTCCATCTCCACTTCCTTATTCTGCATATTTGTTGGACGATAGCTTCATGGTTGGTTGCCAGCCGACCAGCCAGGCAGCCAGCCACCCAGCCAGCCAGAGTCCCTTGTAGTTTATTCTTTCTGACCTGATATTTCTGATCTTCCCTATGGAGAGAAGGTGGCAGCCGTTGCTGATGTATGTCTGTGGTTTGTTGGAAATGCTTTCCGTACATCCCTGTCAAGTCTCTCAACCACCACATAGAAGCACTGACTGACTTGACTGACATTGGTGTTGAAAATGTGGATGTTGTTCACGCTTCATGATGAGTGAAGTAAATCACCACATTGATTTCACATTAATGAAGGAAGGCCTGTCTTGCTGTCTTTCTCACCCTGACTTTGACATCCTTATCTGAGCCACCACCGTCACCTGCAGTTGAGACGATGCTGCCTAGACAGGTCGGTAGGTGGGTGAAAGAGACAACTTCCTTCACATTTCTCCCATTCATGGTGATCGATGCTTGTTGTTGTTGTTGTTGTTGTTGTTGCTGGGCATCTTCATCACCTCTGTCTTCTCTACGTCCACTTGAAGGAAGTTCCGTCTTCCTTCACTGCCTCACCTCACCTCACCTCACCTCACTTCACTTCACCTCGCCTCTTCTGACAACTTCATAGTTTTCACGTGTGCATCTTCGAGTTTGTGTGAGAAGACATCAGACATAAATCATCATCGTTGGCGAAATGCAAATCTTCCTCTAGCGTCTTTTCATCGGTCCAGCCAGCATATGTCCATCTTCTCACAGTTGCTCACAGTTGTCTGTTGCATGATCGAGTCCAGTGCTGTCCAGTCCAGTGCATTGCAGTGGACCACAATGAGGGTGATGGGTGATTGTAGGCGGCAACCTTGTCTTACTCTTATCTCCTGTTTTCACTTCACAGGTATCATCACTGATTTTTCCATCGTGAATCACTTGGCATGTAGCATCCTCATCTAGCATAGGATAAGTCTGTTGAATGACGTTGATAAAAGTTTGTAATACTTAAACCGTAGTGTTGAAGCAGCAGTAATACTTACTACCGAGTATATTTCATTGTTACAAATGCTAATCATTGATAAGCATAACAAAGTTTCATTTACAATGAATCTAAAATGATGTAAACATTGATAATTGATAAACAGTAGATTTTGAATTACCTGGGCTTGTTTCAGTCATACGATCAGATTTTACTTGTCCTTTAACAATATTCTCTGTTTGTTTAAATGATTGAATATCATTTGAATAATCTATTACATGATTTATTGCAGTGATTGACTGAGTTGTAGGTAAAATAGATTGATCCGAATCCACTTTTGACTGAACACATGAAAATGCTGATTTCATTGATTCGTCAAAATATAATGCATTCTTGTGTTTTTTATATCCTTTTCCAGATAACTTCGAAATATTATTCCATAACTTATCCAATGGATTCTTCATAGGTTCATATAGATGGTTCAACTCTGTATAATTCTTCATTCGTTGTTGCTGATTTATTTGTTGAAGTCTAATATCATTTTGTAAGGAACTTCGGTAAGATTGAAGTATCCCATTATTCATATAATTTCGTATGTTAGTGTTGCTTATTTGTCTTTTGTCTATGTGTGTATAATTCTGAAAAACGTCACGATTATTTAGATTTGAATTCACAGGTAGATTTCTTTCAATACACTTTTTGGTAGATGAATTCATATATGGTGAATTCCCTGTGGAATGTACTGATTTTACACTCACGTTATTGAGTAGATGCATGTTATATAGAGGATTCCTTTCACTGTGTATAAAGAAAACTATATTATTACCGGTATTTACGGAAGTAATTTACTAAAATAACGTATTAACTAAAACTGAAAAAACTGATCACGCTTTACCTCCATTATCTATCTATGCCCTAATGAACACATTGGTAGGATTTAAATACATTACAAGATTACTGATTTAAATATGACTTCAAGAATGATATCCAGATATTCATACTGGTTGATGATTGAAGGTGAAATGAAAATCTTGACCGTGGTAGGGTTCGAACTAGTGACCATCGGGTTTCTGGCCCGATGCTCTACTACCTGAGCTACAGATATTTTTCAGTGGCCAAATATACTACTCAAATTGTTTATTAGTAATACCTTTCGTTAAACCATGACATTCTTGTATTGCAGATTACACCTTGCGGCCTTGGCTGGATGGTTTCCAACGGAAATCCTGTTAATATCCTAGTTGGACAGTTAAAAAACTACTTAGCTGTGGGAAATGTCAGCCTAAACCTTCCAGTTTGTAAATCACTTACAAACTGATCATTCGGACTGTAACACTCATCAAGCCGTAACAGATATAATTAAATTACTGGACCATTACGCAAAATGTTTATAAAGAAGACATATTTGTAAACCTCGTTGTGGTCGGAAAATAGATTTCTAACGTTTTCTGACCTTAAAGAGTTCGTAGTAATTAAATATGTAATAGTTTATACATGTTATATTATCTGAAGAGATGGTTTCCACGAGATCATGAAACGTCAAGAATTTCTTTTTCTAGCCTACTGGGATATTAGAAAGTTATCTTCTTCATGAAGCTTCTTCCTGTAGAATAATCATCTAGTCTCATTTGCATCAGTTGGTCACCAGGGGATAACATATATTGGTTGCCTGGTTTTTAGTACTAAGCTCTGATAAATGTATGTTTATCAGGCTTTCAGTTTGATCAATTAGCTAAGCGAAACCACAGTGAACCGCACAGTATTTTGCTGTTAAATATTGGGAGTTAGTATACAGGAAGCCCCACCCTATCAGGGTTTCGATTTTATCGGTACTCATCAACAAGGTATTGATGCGAACATCCAGAATGTAAAGTTATTGCAGTGTTTTCACGTTGGTTATAATGGGATAGGTAAAAATTGAGCCAGTCGAATCTTCAGACATCAATAATCATCAATTATTGCATTCTTTTCCGAAACACCACATTTAAGCATTTCGTCAAGCGGTTATGCATGTCCAAAATATGCTTCTGAATTGTTCTTAGTTTTTGTACACACTCCTAAATGTCTACAACTAAGAGACCGTACACGTACACTGATTTCAATTTATTCAACATAACGATATAAGCAGAACTGTTCATCAGAACTCCCCTTATCCTTATATAAAACTTAACCGGAACTGATTTGATGTAATACACTTTGTCATTTATTTGTTTAGATTTAAGAAATACTTAATCACACAGTTTGTTCCACAAAATCCTAGATGTCTGGGACAATACGGTTTAGGGTAAAGTATCTATCAGATACTCAAGGTATACAGGTTTAAATAATGTATACACCTGGTAAATAAAATTTTAGTTATCAAGATCCATATCTCTTGTAACCATGCTTAACCTTACTGGTACTTAGTTGCATAATCATAGCTAAATGATAGTGGTTACACAGGACATAGTGACGAAGGTAATCTTATCAGGTATATCACAGATTTACTGATTTAGACAAGAAGTTCATATGTCTAACGTCAACAAATAAATCACCTAAAATTTAAGCAAACAATGCGTGTATTTATCATGGCAGTGTCAAGTAAGCAAAAAAGATGTTTGAGCAGAAATCAGATCTTCTAGATGTGCTACTATGGGGACCTAAGATATTCTGACAAGTTTCTCATTATTTTTCAGAGGTACCTTGCGATCAGTGGCTTTAAGCTAGTTTCTTGGATTAAGAGTACGAAATCATGACTTCTGTCGTTAACTGAAATCGATACAAATAACTTTAACAGTAATGATAACCAAGTTGTCAAACTGTTTATTATTATTAGTCCCTTGGGTTCCTAATGGAACATAGGGCTTCACTACCACGTCTCCAGTGCACTCTGTTCTCCGAAATCTTTTCAACCTGGCTCCACGACAGCCCACAAGCTCTCATTTCCTCCCCGCACGATCTCCTCCATGTCACCCTCGGACGTCCAACTCGTCGCTTCCCATCTGGGTTCCACTCGAGCAACTGGCCTGACGCGTGATGTCTCCAGTCGGCTTTCTCAGTGTATGCTCAATTCATCTCCACTTCCTCCTGCATATTTGTTGAGCGATAGGTTCTTGGTTGGTTCGTTGACAGCCAGAGTTGCTTGTTGCCTATTCTTATTATTCTGGCCATCCGTCTGATCTTCAGTAACCAGCCAGCGTAGGCAGTTGTTGATGAATGTCTGTAGTTTATTGGAAATACCTTTCGTAACGCGCCGGCAAGTCTCTGAACCATACAGAAGCACTGACTTGACGTTGGTGTTGAAAATCCGGATCTTGTTCCACATGCTGAGTGCAGAAGATCTCCACACTGGTTTCAGGCTAATGAACGCCTGTCTTGCTTTTCCAATTCTGACTTTGACATCCTCGTCTATGCCGCCACCGCCTGTAGTTGAAACAGTGCTACTCTGCCTAGATAGGTGAAGGAGGTTACTTCCTTTAAGTTCCTCCCGTTGATGGTGACCGGAGTTAGTCAAACTGTATCGCAAGTCTATTGATGTTTGAAACATCGAATGGTGAATTTCAGGTTGGAATTCCTCATTGACTGACATCAGTTAGAGGAACAGTACAAACCTGAGAACACCGGATAGGTGTTTCGTCCTAGCATCGAACTCCTCAGCAATGCGCGCCCACGACCCTGCGCCACCAAGGATTGAACCCAGAACCTTTACGTCCCGTGGCAACCAGGTTACCATTGAGCTAGCCACTGGGCCAGAATCTAATGGTTCATATTTTCCACTTCTATTAGTTCACGATGTAGTGCGACCTACACCCAATATCGTCGTGAAGTAAGTGTCATCACATTCGACTTGGTTAACTCCACTGGTCACAAGTTTCATTTGAATATGTTAATCTCTTAGAAGCCTATCAAAACAGCATGGAGGTGGAATTTCGGATCACAAGTGAGATTACATAAACACATGAAACTGAAATATGTCAGAATGTTAATTAAAACAACCTGTTACATACTACCTCGGTGTTGTAAAACATAGTCATGAAACTTATTATCATACTGTCAACTTTGTAAGTGAACTTTGACTTCTCGGTCAAAATACTCATATCCCAGCTACTGAACAATGTGTTTAAACTCATTCCATTATGTGTACTCTTTAAAACCTACCAGGATTGTTGACTTCTATGCATATTTCCCACAAGTCACTATCGAAAAAAAGGCGATACATGACTGTTGAAATGTAAATAGTTTGTATTTCGAAATCGTTTCGTTTCAATCTGAATAACTTTATGAGAACAATAAGGTTCAATACCAAATGACAAATTAGTTTTTTTCATACTTTTTTGACACTGAATACATTTCGGGTCTTGCCAGGAGAAAATGACATTCTACAAATATTTATTACTGATATAACCTCGTTTAGTGTGTTATTAGCTAATTGGATATGACTTTCACCCACAAATATGTATAATTTAATCTGTTTTATTTAAGAACTTTAACACTTCATGTTTAAATACTGTACAGTCAACGGAGGTATTTCTCATGGCTATATAGTAGATGACCAGAAAGAATAAGCAACAAGGAACTCTGACTGGCTGGCAACGAACCAACTAACAACCTATTGCTCAACAAATATGCAGAAGAAAATGGAGATGGATTGGACTGTATTGGACACACACTGAGAAAACGGTTTGGGGACATCACGCTCTAGGCCTGGCCAGGCCAGGTAGTCGAGTGGAACTCAAATATGAAACGACTAGTTGGGCGTATGAGCGGGGGTGACATAGAGAAGATGGTGTGAAGAAGAAATGAAAGCTTATGGGTAGTCGTGGAGCCAGCTTCAAAAGACTGCAGAGAACAGAGTGCAATAGAGGCGTGCTACTGAATCCCTATGTTCCACTAGGAACCCAAGGGACAAATAAATAACAATAATAATAAATAGTAGTACTGAAGTTAGCTTTGCTGACATTACAACTAGACGGCTGAGAAACTGTACAATTATAAAAAGCTTCAACAAGAATCATACTATTTGTTCTTCCATTTATTTGATATACCAACTCGCTAAAGACTCAATAATCCAGATGTATGAACCAAACTAATCCTGTGATCAACTAGTGATGAGCTCATCAGGAAATGAAGAAACAACTGCCTAGTGTTCAAATCTTTCTTCATTGTGAAAACCATGGCATATTGTACTATAACTGTTCTGAGGAGTATATCACATAACTTACCTTAATAAAAGTTCTTCGCCAAAATTGATACATCTTTGAGTTTTGAAGTAAAGTATCCTTCTACTATTCTGTTCACTGGATATGTTAGCCAAGTGTAAATCCTTTGAATTATTATTGTTATTATTTTGTAATGAAATGTGATTGTTATGACTATCCAATAGAGATATTATTACTATATTAGATTTTAAAGAATTCTTTGTATTCTCTGAAACAATTTGCTGTGTTTCAAGATTCATGACTGAAACATCACGAACTAACGTCATCCATAATATTGTTGTATTTTCTGTAGAATTGATAAGTGAACTATCCACCACTGTTGTGTATGTATCACTGATCTAGAAAATACCAAATAAACGATTCAATAATTCATATCAAATTTTTTCATTAAGCAGTTTGATATCAGTCCTACCTTCAAACCAGTAAATTCTCGTCTATAAATTACTAATTGGATAACTTATAGTGCAAACTAGTGAATTGCTTCAAGATAAATTTCTCAAGGCTTAAGTGAGGTTATGGCTTGTCAAGTCAGCCAATTTCTATATAAAGAGAGATATTCACCGATGGTATCGTATGACAATCGTGATTTTTAAAAAAGTGAAGTTGAGGCTCATCAGCTTAAAGAGTTGAATTTCGACCAGTAGATCACCGTTTCGAGCGTTACTCCACCTACCGAAGTTTCAGCAGTCGGGTAGTATTGTTAGCCTCCATACAATGGATGTGTAGTTTGCCTGCTGTATGAATTTATACAAGGTTGACAAGTGGATTTCGATTGCAATAGACTGCGAACTGTAAGAAGTAGTGGCTAATGGATCATTAAATTTCAAGTAAGTGGAGATCTGATCGTTCTGGAATTACTCCATCATATAGTGTTTGATGCGTTCCAATGTTGAATTCTAAACTAGGACAAAATACCTCTCTCATCGATGTCTCTCTTGAATGAAAGCATCTTTGAAACTAAAATTACCTACGTGAAGCACAGATTATTGCTAGCAATAGAATTAAAACGAAAAAGATACCGATAAATTGTGCTCTGAACGTCATCCAGAATGAATTTAACCAACCAACCAAAGTGGAATAATATTCTATTAGAGCACTGAAAGATCTTTTCTGTATCTGAATTTATTTGATACAATCAAGTCACTTCAGATGGTACTCCAAATGTTCTTGATTAAATAGTTCAGTAGTCATTTAATTTTAACGTGACTGCTGGTTAAAAAGATAAATAAGCGGATCATATATTATTTGTCCCTTGGGTTCCTAGTGAAACAAAGGGCTTCAGTAACATCTCACCATATCACTCTCTTCTCTACAGTCTTTTCCACATGGCTCCAAGACTCCCCATAAGATTCCATCTCTTCCTCACACCATCGCCTCCATGTCATACTCACATCGGACGCCCAACTCATCGTTTCCCATTTCACGTTCCACTCGACAACCTAACCTGGCCTAACACGTCATCTCCCAAAACCATCTTCTTTCTCAGTCTATGTCCATTTCAATCCTTTCCATCTCCACTTCCTTATTCTGCATATTTGTTGGACGATAGCTTCATGGTTGGTTGCCAGCCGACCAGCCAGCCAGGCAGCCACCCAGCCAGCCAGCCAGCCAACCAGAGTCCCTTGTTGTTTATTCTTTCTGACCTGATATTTCTGATCTTCACTATGAAGAGAAGGTGGCAGCCGTTGCTGATGTATGTCTGTGGTTTGTTGGAAATGCTTTCCGTACAGCCCTGTCAAGTCTCTCAACCACCACATAGAAGCACTGACTGACTTCACTGACATTGGTGTTGAAAATGTGGATGTTGCTCACGCTTCATGCTGAGTGCAGTGCAGTGGAGTGAAGTGGAGTCCAATGCAGTCCAGTGCAGTGCAGTAAATCACCACACTGATTTCACGTTATTGAAGGAAGGCCTGTCTTGCAGTCTTTCTGACCCTGGCATCAACATCCTCATTTGTGCCACCACCGCCACCTGCAGTTGACAGGTAGGTAGGTGAAAGAGACAACTTCCTTCACATTTCTCTCGCTCATGGTGATTGGTGCTTCTTTTTGTTGTTGTTGTTGTTGTTGGGTATTTTCATCACCTCTGTCCTCTCCAGGTCCACTTGAAGGAATTTCCGTCTTCCTTCACTGCCTCGTCTCACCTCACCTCTTCCACCAAACTGTTAGTTTTCGTTTGTGCATCTTTGAGTTTGTGTGGGTAGATATCGGATATAAATCATCATCGTTGGCGAAATGCAAATCTTCTTCTAGTGTCTTTTCATCGGTCCAACCAGCATATGCCTATCTTCTCACAGTTGCTCACAGTAGTCTGTTGCATGACCTAGTCCTGTCCAGTGCAGTGCAGTGCAATGGACCACAATAAGGAAGATGATGGGTGATAGCAGGCGACAATATTGTCTTACTCCTATCTCCTGTCTTCACTTCAAAGACGAAATAAGCTGATACTACGTTAATAAATTATAAGTAGGCAAGTTAATTCATCGAAATTAAAAGAAATATATTTTTTCTTATGAATGTCTCTTCAGTGTAACAAGTTTTAAATATAATAAAATATTGAATTCGTAACTATCTTATTTGCATATGAATGTGCATGAAATGATAGAAAATATTTGTATCTCGACAGGATGATCTTGGTTGTATTGTATTCTCTGAGCTGGATGATTTAATCATGAAGCTTTAATTGTCTTCCTAGATAAAATCATCAGCACTAACGTCAATATGAATTCATGATTAAGCCAGCCAGCTCAGAGGATGCAGCACAGCCATGAATGTACATTTTTTTAGATTTCAAGTTTTTAGGTCCATTATAGTAAATAAATAAAGAGGATTAGAAGAAGAATATATATGCTTACTGATTAATTAACTTATGTCAGTTTGTAAGGAAAGCTGCTTTCAAACTAACAACTCAGTCAACAGCCAATACCCCTTGTTTCGAAATGAATTTCCTGAAGTTCTTATAAGAGGCTGTGACCTATAGAGTCAACTATATCAAGCGCAAGGACAGTTACTCACCGTTAACATTGAACAGTAGTAACACTACATTAGCTATCTTAAGTAGGAAAATATGAGTCACTGGAGTCAAAGCCAGTGGCTCAGTGTCAACGTGCTCAATGCAAGATTTGACAGTTCTGGGTTTTCTCTCTTAGATTTGCAATGTTTCGCCAATTGATGTCATTTTCTTATGAAATCTAGTTTTAAATAAATAAATTATTTTAATTTAACCGGTGAATGACCTATGTATACAAAAGTGAAAGGGTTAAGAGTATAGCTGAGTAAGCCTTAAAGTAATTGTAGGAAACAATGCAGTGATTTACTCTTTTGTAGGTCATATGAGTAACAATAGACTTGCCTGTTTCTCATAACTTACCAATGATCTAAATAGAGTTGAATGAATCATTTGATATCTCATCTTAAACACTGAAACCCTTGGTGATATGGACCTGTCCACCTTTATTAGTTTACACTGCTTGCGCTATCTAACATAGTCATAAAGCCTTCAGGATAAAACTGCTTTGGTTAGAAAATCTAAAAGTCCTAAATTGTATTTTTTTTAAAGAAGGAAATCGTCATACTGTCTATAGGCAGTTAAAGAAAATGATTTGGCTTATTTAAAAAAGATTTCTTCACAACTTCATATTCTCATGATCTATCCTGCTTTGTTATTACCATTACATTGACTACTGTCTTGTTTTCAGGTGTATTAGATCTGATTTCTAACAAACTATTTCAACTCTGAAATACTACATGATTATATTGTTATAAAAAATTGTAATCAATAACTTACTGAAAGTAATTTTGAACTTTTGTATGCATTCTTTACATGGTTCACTCCACTTTGTTGTATGCCTTCGTTTATGCAAAACGGACCCAGTATAGCACCAAATGGAATAGGTTTTAAGCATACTACTTGATAATGATCACTTTTAGTCGATTTAATAATCTGTAAGATAGTTGGTTCAGATATATATGAATTATTTTTCAAATCATTCATCGTTAACAAAGGTTTATATACATCTTTGATTTGAACAACTTCTTGCTGAATTGTTATTATCTTCTGATCAGTGTATGTTTGCATATCATGTCCTATAATTAAAAGAATGGTATGGATTAACATGAAAGAAAGAGTAATATCCTTGAATGTTCACCTAACCACGTAGTAACATTAAACAAAAAGTGAAGTTCAAAACTTCTATTTTAGCTGCTGTTGACTTCAAATGTTGATCTTCAACTAGGTAACAGAATTGAATAAATTGTTGAATGAGTAGAATATAAAATCGTGAAATTACAGAGGGAAGACTAATTAGCAGTATCCTTTTTTAACTAAATTGACGTTCTATTGAGATATAATAGTATATACAGCTGATTAACGACTTTTTAGATAACCTGTCAGGCTATGATCTCGGAGGTCATAATGTACTACAAAATAAGACTAACGAAAGCTAAAAACGTACTTCAGTTTCAGTGCTTAAGGACTTGAAGTGTCGAAATTCACATTTTGGATTATAAGGAGATTATTATGAGGTGTACCAGTGAAACAAATCAGCCCTCATGTCAAGAAATGTCTGGTTTCTACTGACTAGTTAACAAAGTCTGAATTTTAATGTAAGCCAGCTTTAAATCTGGAAATAATCCAGAAAATGATAATGATGGGTAGCATCTAGCAGTGCAATCCGGGATGTATATTTTGTCCTGTTTGGGACTCGTCAACTGGACGTGCCTGCCTCCCAGTGAGTGATGTTGTTCCCATTAGGGTTCGGACTCTGGACCGATTGCTTCAAACGCCAGAGAGTTATCCATTAGACCACCAAGCTACTGTAGCCACTTCTTGTGCGACGGGTATAGTTTTAGTATTACTGCTTGTATTATGGCACTGCTAGCCACTATCCGTCATTAATATAATTAAAACACAGGTAATATCTAGGCTTCCACATAGGAGCCCGTATGCCAATAGAGTCGATCAGTTCGGTCCAGTCAACGACGATATAATGCAAGCAATAATATTCAATCAAGGAGATGACCAATAGAACATTATTGATCGAACCGTAAGCAAGCTTTCTGATTGGTAAGCGGAATCGCTTCTCAGTCTGAACTTACATTGGTCATCGAAGAAATTGAGTCTGTATATACGACATATTCTTTTATCACTGAAAGTAGCTAGAAGATAAAACATGATCAGCAGAGGCGAATAAAGTGAGTAATTAAGTGATTCCCCTGAATCATAAAAATCACAGAATCCGTCTAAGTGAAGTAGGTCAAAATCAGTTATGATAAGATAGTGTATTCACCCTCTATCTTCATCAACCTTTAGAATATTTTACTTCAGTCATTTTCTTTTCACCAATATCCTACTTCTAGTCCATGTTAGCACAATTTTTTATGCTAAAATATCTAACATCAATGCCTCAGTGTCACATCATGTGGCTTATTGATCACACTGCAAACTTGATTGATAAATTTTAATCAAAGCAGTTAGAATCTGTATACCGTATATATACTCTAGTCCTGCAAGATAATACACGTGAGCTGAACAGCCTGACTTCAGTAGCTAGTGATGAAAATTTGAATCTCCCAGGGATCATGAGTTTTCCGATGATTTTAAATGGATATGACTAACGGGTGCTAACAAGCAAAAAAACTAGGTTCAACATTCACTGTGGATTGACTGCCAATATTTAACACATATGGATACTTGAATCAATGTTGTTTCAAGTCTTTTATCCGCATATTTCATTGTAATAAATAGTATACGCTTTCCTTGGGAATTTTATATGAATATTATTATTATTTGTCCCTTGGGTTCCTAGGGGAACATAGGGCTCCAGTAGCACGTCGCTATTCCATCCTGTTCTCTGCAGTCTTTTGAACCTGGCTACACGGCTGCCCATAAGCATTCATTTCTTCCTCATGCGATCTCCTACATGTCACCCTTGGCTCGGACGCCCAACTCATCATTTCCCGTTTAGATTACACTCTAGGCCAAGGGGCGTAATGTCCTCGAATGGTTTTCTCAGTGTATGTCCAATCCAGTCCATCTCCATTTTCTTCTGCATATTTGTTAGGCGATGGGTTCTTGGTTGCTTCGTTGCCTGAGTTCCTTGTCGCTGATTCTTATTATTCAGGCCATATGATCTTCAGCAGCGAGCGTAGGTGGCAGCTGTTGATGAATATATCTGTAGTTTGTTGGAAATGCTTTCCGTACAGCCCTGTCAAGTCTCTCAACCACCACATAGAAGCACTGACTGACTTCACTGACACTAGTGTTGAAAATGTGGATCTTGCTCGCGCTTCATGCTGAGTGCAGTGCAGTGGAGTGAAGTGGAGTCCAATGCAGTCCAGTGCAGTGCAGTAAATCACCACACTGATTTCACGTTATTGAAGGAAGGCCTGTCTTGCAGTCTTTCTGACCCTGGCATCAACATCCTCATTTGTGCCACCACCGCCACCTGCAGTTGACAGGTGGGTAGGTGAAAGAGACAACTTCCTTCACATTTCTCTCGCTCATGGTGATTGGTGCTTCTTTTTGTTGTTGTTGTTGTTGTTGTTGTTGGGTATTTTCATCACCTCTGTCCTCTCCAGGTCCACTTGAAGGAATTTCCGTCTTCCTTCACTGCCTCGTCTCACCTCACCTCTTCCACCAAACTGTTAGTTTTCGTTTGTGCATCTTTGAGTTTGTGTGGGTAGATATCGGATATAAATCATCATCGTTGGCGAAATGCAAATCTTCTTCTAGTGTCTTTTCATCGGTCCAACCAGCATATGCCTATCTTCTCACAGTTGCTCACAGTAGTCTGTTGCATGACCTAGTCCTGTCCAGTGCAGTGCAGTGCAATGGACCACAATAAGGAAGATGATGGGTGATAGCAGGCGACAATATTGTCTTACTCCTATCTCCTGTTTTCACTTCACCGGCATCATGACTTAGTTTTCCATTGTGAATCTCTTGTGATATAGCATCCTCACCTAGCATAGGATAAATCTGTTGAATGACGTTGATAAATGTTTGTGGTACTCCATAGTATTACAGCAGCTGGTAAATTACTTTTCGGACGACGCTATCGAAGGCCTTTTCAAAGTGGATGAAGTTGAGCTGAATAGTTGACTGCCATTCTATACTCTGTTCTATGATGATGAGTATCGTGGGGTTTCAATTTGATCCTCACACGATTTGTTCTTCTTGAAGTAGGCCAGTCTGTTTCGGTCGTAATTTTGAATCTAGTGCACGTTTTTCACTTGCTAGTGTGTCGTAGGAGTAAGTGTCTTTTGCCTTTGCGTGCACGCCTCTTCACTTCTTTGTCCAGTGTAGTAGTTTATGGGTTGCATTCAATTCCTCTCTTCCTTGTTCATGCCTGCACTGCACTGCACTGTGCACTGGTTCATCTTTTGCTTCACCATCACCATCTTCCTCTCCCTCCTCGATCGGCTTCCATGTGTCCGTCCAGATCCACTCCTTGTCTTGTTTCCTCTTCCTTCCTAATACGATTATGTAAGTTTCTTTCCACATCTCTTTCAGAGAGTTCCAGTGTTCTTCCACTTAGGTTTCTTCAGGTATGTTGCCCAATGTCGCCCATTTCGTTTTGATGGCTGGCTGACGTGAAGATGTCGTTTGTAGTTTCGTCCTTGAGTTAGTGTTCTGGGTGTTGAACTTGAGCTGTGGTCGTCTATCACCAACTTCTTTGAAGTCTTTTAACTTGATTATGAAGGTAAGTTTCTTTCACGAGACATTGAGTGATGTTAACCTACATCTACTGGTCTTGAATTTGTGTCCAGTAGGCTGCGTCTCCACTTTCTTGAGATTGAGATGAAGTTTATATGAATAAGTATTTCCATATACGCTTTAATTCACTTGAGAAACTAATGATTTCTACATTGTTGGTCAAACTTCATGTCTAGTTTAAACTGACAGGCAGAAATCGTTGAATCTCTCCTTACTAAAATCTGTTTACCAGCTGGATATGTCTATACGGTAATTTTTAGAAGCAAGCAGGTTTCTTCTTAAGGAAGTAGTAGAAATTACAATTAGAGATGAGTTTTATTTTGTGACGAGTAAGATTCAATTTAAGATAACTACTTAAATGAAGGTCATTTGTCTAGGCAATATGTTATTGAAGGGAAGATCAACGGATGTCGATTTGGTCTGAAAGTATTCAATCATGAGATAGGGAGTGGATGAACGTAACAAAATCTTTATCGAATGCTCTCTGAGTTTTCATCTACTTCTATGCCTCTTATTCGGACGATCGACTATTTCTCAGGTTTTGTTAACTTTTCAAAAACGTTGGTTCTATAATATTGAAAAGAAGGACTCCGCTCATCATTCTTCACGCTTTCATTAGCTTATATGATCTGCTTATATGCGAATTGGATAGTATTCACAATTTACAGTTCTAATTCGTCACTTATTAATACGAAAAACGCACTGAATACTGTTATGCTACTAACCAATCAATGAGTAGCCTGATTTTTATTAATGAATTATCTAGTTGATCACACGAATGACATTACAAGATTTCACATCTTCAGTCTCGTCATGATAACGGTAACCTGTGAACATTTGTTGACAACAGTCTAACAATTGCACATCTGAGAACGTCAAAGCAACTGAACGTCCATGGTATAAGCTACTACCATAAATTCCATTCATATTTCCAACTGGAGCATGTCAAAATATTTTTTGCACTTTATTTCTTTTTCCAAGTAAATCATCTCTCATGATGAAAATGATCTTTAAATCAACCAAATACTTGAAATTAACAAGGTCAAGTTAGTTAAAATCACCCCATTAATCACATTTAAACTCACTTTTAGTACTTGCCATGTCTACAGTTTGTTTATTCTCAGTAATCTGTACGTATTCGTTGCTTGCTTTCTGGTCCTTGATCTTTTTTTAAAATAAAAAAGATTACATATAAGGAGTTTTAATTACAGTTGATCAACTTATCTAAAAATTAATGCTGCCAGTAATGTTTAGTTTACCATCAAAACTATCTCCAGTCGTAGAGCGAACTTACAAATCAGTGTGACATTAACAAATACTCAGGATACTTATTTGAATTTCAATCTCACTGTGCAAAAGAA